ATATTTGTTAAACTTCCTAAATGAAAATCTTAAAAATATTATGCATTCTTTACTAAATGATTTTCCCAAACACGATTTAAGCTAATTGGTGAATATTCATTACTATGCTTTCAGGTCTGGTCCTGTACTGAGTGATTCCAGACATGCTAGCTAGGCTTTGAGTATTTGTTTTTGTGTCCTGTAGATTATCTCTATTATCCTCACCAAGCTGTTATCTGTTTTTTTCAATAGGCGGTAGGCTGTTTCCCATCCTCCTGACCCAACCCCCACTCCAATCTCTCCCCCCCAAACACATTATCCATAATCTACTGTCTCTAATCTACTGTGGTTTAAGAGTCAGATAACTGTCTATTCTAAACATTTGGAGGAAAAGTCAACATACATTGATTAAGGGTTTCAATGATTCTCCTATTACTAAAACTAAGGTTATGGACTTTGACAATTGTGACCATCCCAAATTTTCTTTGCCTATTGTCTGGTTCTTAAATACACTTTACAGTAAATCACAGATAAGCAGTTGTTAAAGCATTTGGATAAGTAAGGGGCTGGAGCGATAGCACAGCAGGTAGGGCCTCTGCCTTGCATGGGGCCAACCTGGGTTTGATTCCCAGCATCCCATATGGTCCCCTGAGCACCACCAGGAGTAATTTCTGAGTGCAGAGCCAGGAGTAACCCCTGTGCATTGCCGAGTGTGTCCCCAAAAAGCAAAAAAATAAAAAAATAAAATAAGCAGTAACCCAAAACTACAATTCTGAGAGAATAAGAATTCTCTGGAAGGACCCTTATGTCTCAAGCAACAGTTTAGATACCTTAATCCCTAAAAATGTAATTCCTGTACTGTCAGGAAACAAAAACCACTGTCAGGAAACAAAAACCCAAATCATTTGACCAATATTATAATTAGTCCCATTAGCCTAGGTTTCTGACTCCAAAACCTGTCCATAATGGAAACTGACAACTCAATTCAAATTAGCCAAGTGTAATTTTCACATTTTTCAATTCTTTCATTGGAACCTCACTGATTCAAGTTTGTGTCCTTTCCCTAACTAGTGAATAACCAAAGACCAAATTAAATATAGCTCTGTAAGTGTTCATATGTCATGCAACAAATATGCTATGAATGACTGGTCATATATTATTAGTATAGACTGCAAAAATGGTGACAGGGTCCTCCCCAAAAAGATACTTCCCAGCGACACTGTGAATTAATACCTAACATCTTTCCTAGTTCAGTCCACTATGTTTGACAGAAAGCAATGCAAGTATACTTTAGAAACTGGCCCAGTATATATTATAAAGCCCCTCAAACTGTACACAACTGTGATTTTCTTACTGTGTCTCAACATCTTAGAACAGGTCAAGGAAATAACAGTTTCCAATAATCTCACTTAGGAATGAGACTATATCAATTCCATTAAATAATTTATTGTCTAGTATGGGGCCCAGCACATAGCAAATGCTGTTTCTTGAATATATTTTAAAAGAGCTACTTGCTCAAAAAAATACAAGTCGTTTGCTGTATAAACACTCCTCTAAATTTTTAATTTTTGAAATCTCTATAATCAAATATTCTAACATACCTCCTTGCAGCAGAAAACACTTTTCTTCATAAAAACAATGAGCTTAAAAATTGCTTTATTGGGGTCAGAAAATAGTATAGGAGATAAGGTGCTTGCCTTGAACACTGGCAACCCAGAATTGAAATGACACTCCACATGGTTTCCTGTACCCTGCCAGGAGTGATCCCCGAGCACAGAGCTGAGAGTAAGCCCTGAGCACAGGCAGGTATAGTTCCAAAACAAACTAACCAAAAAAAAAAAAAAAAAGAAAGAAAAAAATCTCCTATTACTTTGTATTGCCTGGGGGCCACACCTGGCCTGTGCCCAGGGAAAATTCCTTGCAATGCTCCAGGACACTGTAAGTGGTGAACAGGATTGAACTAGGGCTGGTAGTGTGCAAGGAAACCGCCTAAACCAGCTGTGGTATCTTTCGGAATCCAATTGTCTTTCTGTTTTGTTTTTCAAATAATCTTACAAGACAAGCCCCTCTCCATCCTTTAAAAAAGTGACTCTTTTCCCAAGAATATGAATAAACCTCCATCTGCTAAATACAGCATTCAGAAACACCTGTGTAAAAAAAAAAGACTCCTAGAAAATAAGGTTTTGGAATCCTAAACTACAAATCCAAGAGAAGCAAAACCAAACAATATTCAGACATAAAAATCCAAACAAAATAATTCTGAAATGTAAAGATTTGATTGTTCTTTGACCGGATTATATATATATACAGTTGAACCCATTCTTACAATCCCATTCTTCCCTCAAATTTTCCCCAATGTGAAGCAATGTGAAGCCTTATGACTCTAAAGTTGACAATACAAAAGTCAAGGCGCCCTTTGGCATCTTGATGTAGATATCATCTATTGCCACCTTAGTTCCCATTAAAAGGAGTTTCTGAAATATACAACAAACCATCCCCCACAAATTCCAACTGTAAGAATTAAAATACATACCAAACCTGACAAGCCACAAACAGGAAATTAACAAGCAGTTTTTTACAAGACTATTATTTCATTAACTTACCAGACTTACAGAGATTTGACTACCTATGACTCGCTACTGCTAAATTACAACCCCCAAGAAAGTAAACTACAGCTGAACATCTACAATGTGAACTCATCTTAGAAGGTAAAGTATAAAAAAACCAAGCACTTTCTAAGAGCCATTTCTAGCTAAAATTTCAAACGGATGCTTACAATCCCATTACATTAAGACTGGTAAAAAGAACTTACTTAAACTCAACTTTTATAGTCATGGTACAAAAGGAAGCACCCACTTCAGTGAGAGTGACTTCAACTAATCTTACTATCACAACCAATTTCACAGTACAAACCAAGAAACTATGAAGGTGTTTAAAATTAAATAAAAATATTACATTCTGACTTTAATGTTTGTTAAATGACCTTCTGGTGGACAAGTTCTTCAAATATCCTGTATAGTTTTTAAGGCAAATGAAAAAACACACCATAGTATGATACATTTTTGAAGCCCATTTTTACATTAAGCCTCTCATTTGCTTCACTTACTCAGATTAAATTCCATTTAATTATATGTCTTAGTTTTATATAAGGAAAAATTTGGGGGTGGGGTAAAAATTAAAATGGGCCTTTTCTTAAGTCAATTTGTTAGGTTAATAAATTAGGAAAAGTATCCTAACATTCAAGTCATATGAAATTAAAAAAAAAAACGAAAATCAAGATTTCAGAATTCTGAAAATGAAATCCAAAAGCCAGGGACCACTTTTGGAAAAGATGGAATTCAAGCAAGTCGCGGTGATCACTTATAAACAAATTATTTAGCGTGTTATTTTGAAAGTTTTCACACACCCAAAATTTCGGTTACTTCAAACTGAAATAAACATGCCATGATATGGACGGAAAACGACAACTTCCCAAAAGATGCTTTTTTTTCTTTTCTTTGAAAAAAAAAAAATGAAGGCTTTGGCGATCAACAAATCGGTAGGTAGCCTTTAGCTTCTCCAAGGGGCCAAAGAGGAAGGCATAACAAAACCAACCTGGGTGATGCTTTCCTTTTGTCTAGGATCAAAAGGAAACCACTGGCCCAGATGGGCAAGAAAAGTAAAAAAACAGTAATTTTTAAAAATTAAAAAAAAAAAAAACTAACCTCCAGCCACACAAGAGACTCCAAAACAAAACAAAACAAAAAAAACAAGTCCAAGCTGCAAAATCTGCCAAGCCAGGCTGGAAATGCGATCGATGAGCGTGCTTTTTTTTTCACCCCCCCCCCCCACCACCACCAGCCAGCTCCTTCCCGGCGTGCGACAACTAGGAGGAGGCTCCACTCCACGCACCCGCCAACTTTCACGAAGCGAGCCGGGGCTGAGCTCCCCGCAGCAGCAGCAGCAGCAGCAGCAGCAGCAGCAACAGCAGCAAAAGCAGCCGCCGCCGCCGCCGCCGCGGGCCGCCCGGAGTCCCAACGCCGCGCCTGGTTAACAAAGGTTACCGGAACCCCCACCATCCTCGAGAGGGAGAGGCGGAAAAAAAAAATTTAATAAAAAAAAAGAGAGAGAGAGGAAAAAACAAAACGGAGAAAGTGGAAGGCCAAGTCTGTGCCCCGACACGGCTTCCCCCCCCCACCCCCGGGGCGCGCGCACACACACACACACACACACACGCGCGCGCACACACCCCTCGTGAAAGCGGAGCGGGCTGCCCAGCTCGGCGGCGGCGCGCGGCACCGGCACCGGCACCGGCACCGGCACCGGCACCGGCACCACCACCGCGGCGAGGGCGTGTGCGCGGCCGGGGGGCAGCGGCCGACGCTCACGGGCGGGCGGGCGGGCAGGCGGGCGGACGCCCGAGCCCGCCCGACCCCTTTCCCTTACCGCCGCGCTCGGGATTCCCTCCCCGCGCGCTCCTGCACCCCGCACCCGGCGCCCGCCACACCCCGGCCTCCCGCGGCCCGTGTGTGTGTGTGTGTGTGTGTGGGTACGGACACACACAAACACAAACGCGCACACGCGCGCGCGCTCCGCGGTAGGGGGGGGGGCTAGGAGCGGGCTCGGCGGCTTTACCTGCACCCGGGCTGCGGGGCCGCCCCGTCCGAGCCGGGGGTCCCGGACCTTTTGTTCCTCTCCTCCTCGGGCGCGGGGCGGCTGAGGGGGGCCGGGAGGGAAGAGGGGGAATGGGCGTCTGGAGGCGGAACCGAAAACACGCCCGCGGCCGCCCGCCCCGCCCCCTCGCGGTGCACCCCCCCCACCCACCCCTCACCAGCGCCCGGCTCCGGGGAGGGGGCGCGGGCCCGGCCGCCGCCGCCGCCCGCGGGAAGAAGGGGGTGGGGACGCGCGCGCCGCCGCCCCCGCCGCCGCCACCGTCGCCGCCCCTCCTCCCCTCAGGCGCGCGCGCGCCCGCGGCCCCCTCACCCCACCTCCCCGGGCCGCCCGGCCGAGCCCTCCTCCCCCGGCCGCGCCCGCCCGCCCACCTCCGCTTCCGCCCGGCGCCCTCCGCGGCGCGCGGCGCGGCGCGGCACGGCGCACCCACCTCCGGGCGGCCCGCTCGGCGCTCGCTGCCTGCTGGCCCGGAGCTGCTGCTGCTGCTCCTCCTCCGCCGCCGCCGCCGCCGCCGCCGCGACCGCGCGCTGGACCCGCCTCCCACCCCGGGCCGCGAGCCCCGCCGATTCGCCGCGGCTGGCACCCTGCCGCCCGCTGATTGGCGCCCCCGGCCGCCCGTTAGGCGGCGCGAGGCACGCCGGCCGAGCGCGGCGTTGGGCGCGCACGGAAGACAGGGCGAGCGGAGGAGGGAAGAGGCGAAGGAGGCCGGGCGCCCGCCAAGGGCCCACCCCTCGTCCCCCCCGCGGGTGCCAGCGGGGGTTTCGGGGGAGTCGCGGACCCACTAAGCTTCCCCACCTCCTTCCCCGCCCCCAACCCTCCCCCCTCCAGCACCACCACCCCCGGAGGCTCGCCCCGCCCTCCCGGCCCGAGCGGCGGCGCGCGCAGCCAATGGGCGCGCGGGCTGCTCGGGGTGTGAGCCGCGCGTCGGCGGGCCGCCAATCGCAAGGGAGAGAGACGTCGCTCGCTGATTGGTCCCGCCTCCCCCCGTCGAGCGTGAGGCGAGGCGCGGCGAGGCGCGGCCCGGCGCGCGGCGCGGAGCGCTAAGGCCGTCGCTGAGGCGGGGTGCCATCCCCCCTCGCGGTTTCGGTTGACTTCGGCCCCGGCGCGCGCCCGTGACGGGGGGTCCGGGAAGGGAAGGGGAGCCGCGGAACTGCGGGGCTGGGCACGCTGCCGCCCACCCACACCCATCTCCCTCCCTCCCCACCCACCCCCGGGCCCCGGCCTCTCGCCAGCGCCATTGGGTGGGGCCTGCCGAGGCGGCCGCCCGGTCCCAGAGTCGGGCCGCACGTGCCAATCCCCTGAAGAGGCCCGGAGCCCGCCGGAAAAAGCCGGGCGAGCCCGTGGCTGACGAGGGTCCCACAGAGCCCGGGGCAGCCCCCAAGACCCTCTCTGAGGCGCGCCCCGAGAGGCGAAGGCGCGGGCGAAGGGGGCGGGGTCCGGGCTGTAAATAAGGCTGGAGCGGGGCTGGCGGGGCTCCCGGGTCCTGCTTAACCTGACTCTTGACTGATCCTTGCAAGCTCCGGAACTGCCCTGCCCGAGCCTCCCGAGGAAGCGCCCGAGAAGACGCACGATGCTGCCACAGTCGCCGCCTGCTCGTCCCCCTTCGTTTCTCCGCGCTTGGCTCTCGCCGTGATGTTCTTAGGCCCCAACCGCGTCCCACCGCTGCTCGCCAGGTCCGAAGCCGGCGAGAGTGGGGTTCCACCCCAGTCACATATTCGCTGCTGATTTTTACCGAGTTACCCAAGCCTCTGCTGCTGCTGCTGCGATCCTTAATCCCCTCATCGTGATGGCTCTCAATCGACTTTGTCACTCTGTCGTGAGCTAACGTTACACTTGTAGGAAGCAAGGGAGCGTCATGGAGTTGGAAGATCGGGGCTCCCACAGGTGGTGGCAGAGACCTAGAAGAGAGCCCAGTTTTCTTTGCTGCTTCGTGAAATTATTGGGGGAATGCAAAAAAAATGCCCAGGAAAAGCACCGATGGCCATATACTAAACTATGAGCAAGAAGTACCAAGGAACCTTTTCAAACTGGAGAAGTTTACCGGAAGTGTACTCAGAAATGAAGCTATCAGGGCCAGAGAGATAGTACAGGGGTGAAGACGCTTTGCATGCAGCCGACCCCAGTTAATCCTCAACAACATATATGATTTCCCTAGACAGTGCAGCAAATGAGTACTCCCCGAGTACAGAGCTCGGAGTAAACCCTAAGTATTACGAGGTATAGTTCAAAAACAAACAAAAATACAAGTGAAGGTATCTCTGAGGTTGTTGAGAGACTTTGGGCCATCCGCTGAGCCTGAGGGTTTTTCCAGATTTTCTTTCAGAATCTCCTATTTGCATTATCTCTCCAAATAGAAATCCTTTTCTCTTGGGAAGATTATGAAACACGTGAAACCCAAAGTTAGGAAGACTAGTGTGTGGCACTATCCCTTTTGGGGCAAGTAGAACAGGGCAAAGATAGCTATTGTTGCATGGGTCAAAGAGATTGCTCAAAGGGGCAGAATGCAGGCTAAAGCGGTTGATTGGATCCTGGCTCCATATTTTCTTAGCTCTACTGGGTGTGCCCCCCCCCAAATAAAAGTGATGGAGATACAGTCCTTGGATAATTAAATGAAATGTGAAAGTAGATAGCATCAGGGCTTTGAAGTTAAAAAGCAAATCAGTTATTCTTAAAATGTACCCTCTGTTGCCTGCATGCATTTATGCTAAAAATGAACCCACTCCACAGAAATGATTCAGGAGTTTACCTAGAGTGGTTCCTTTTGCTATCAGTTTTAGAAGCTGCTATCCTTACCCCCTTTAAAAATAAATTATGAGGGAACCCCAGGAAGTTGATTGATGGGCTGCTCTACCTCCTAAGCCTTCTCTTTCTGCTTCCCAGGACCTCATGAAGGCTGGTTAGGGCAAAGGATGTTGAATTTATTAGAAATGCTGTTGCTGCTTTTGGTCCTCCATACAACTGATTTAGTATGAAATAACCTACAAAAAAGCTTCCCTGGATCACAGTTCCTATATGCAGTCAGGGCCTACATTTTGATAGCCCTCTCAGTAGGAGCAGAAGCAGAGAAGGACAGGGATTCTAGAAGATTCAGCTCCTAGAATGGGAAGTTAAGTACTTTAAGTGACGTATCAATTCTTTGAATTATATGCATTGGACAGCAAGCAAGGCCATCTCTCCCAAATATCCTACTTCAATTTCTTTACACTCCAGTTTAGAAAACATTTCTGCACGGAGTCAGAGAGAGAGTACAACCAGTAGAACACTTGCCTTGCATGCAGCTTATTTGGATTCAATTTTTATCCCATATGATCTCCCAAGCACCGCTAGGGGTTACTCCTAAGCACAGAGCCAGGAGTAATCCTTGCGTATCACCAATTGTGACCCTCTATAAAGGCAGGGAGTGGGGGAAATGGAGAGGTGGCCTTGTACCAATGCTATCCCCAAAGGGTTGATTAGCAGAAGCATGCCTACTGTCCCCTCTGCTGGAAACATCTAAACCTAAGTGGGTCAAGAGAGAAACTGAAGCAGATGGAACAGGGATTGCCGTGGCAACAATCAACTTGGAAATCCACTGGGGTACCTTGAACCTATCAGTGGGTCTCTACTGTATAAATTATATTGAATGAGTCTTTTCATGTGAACAGTTGCCAAGTTTAACCCTTCATTATAAATCAAACTGAAAATTCAGAATTTGTTAAACATACTGAAAATATTCATAAGGAAAATGACCATAGTGCCTGCCTATGGAAAAAAATTGAGAGACATGAGTGGAAAATTTAAATTACATCATGAATTCTTCTGTAGTTTTTATTTTTAGGTATTGGGGCCAGAAAGATACTACAGTTGGTAGGGTACTATCCTTGCATGCAGGTGAATCAGGTTCAATCCTCGATATCCATATGGCTCCCCAAGCCCTGCCAGGAGTGATTCCTGAGCACTGCTGGGTATGGCCCAAGTCCCTTCCTCAAAATTGTGTGTGTTTGTATATGCTTATACTGTGGGTATATTTTTTGTTTGGGGTTTTATTTGGCTTTTTGGGGTCACACCTGGCAATGCTCAGGGGTTAGTCCTGGCTCTGCACTCAGGAATTACTCTGGTGCTCAGGGAACCATATGAGATGCTGGGGATCAAACCTAGGTCAGCCGCATTCAAGGCAAACACCCTACCTACTGTACTATCACTCCAGCCCCATGGATTTGTTTTTTTAAAAGATACACCTTGTACTGTTTCTCCTCTATGGTTATTTTCAGTAAAGCCCTTCTTAACACCTCAAACTATCACCTATGAACTTTCTCTCATGGTTAGAATAATACACATACTGTGACACTTCACTTTGATTAATGTCTTAGGTATGGGTTTTGCTTAAGCTTTGTGGTTGGTTTGTTTTTGTATTTTTGGATTTGTTTGGGGGTGCCACACCCAGTGATTCTGAGGAATTATTTCTGGGTCTTCACTCAGGAACCACTCATGGCAGTGCCCAGGGGACCATATAGGATGCTGGGGATCCATCCAGCTCAGCTGCATGCAAGGCAAATAACCTACCCCACTGTACTATTACTCCAGCCTATTAGTTTAGTCAACATTTAAAAAAAAAACTTCTCTAGTGTGTTTGTTATATCTATGTTTAGATTGTAAAGTCCTGAAGGACAAGGGCAACATCTTGTTCTCAGTCATTTGTCTTCTCACACTCATAACAAGATATTAAGTAATTGGAAAGAAAATATAAATGCTGTGTAAACAGGAAAATGCTATATGTGTTCCATGAATCTGCAAGCATTCTGCACATCTTGGCCCCATCCTTAAAGTTTGCTGATACCCTCAACATAACTAGTGAGTATTTGAAAATGTCTCCATCTCTATATTTATTCACCCTGGTAGAAGTAAGTTACGGTGATATTACATTGTAAGGAAAGATTTAACTATTTGCAACTGAAAGAAGATTTCTTAAATAAACTGTAAGGAATAAATGGGTGGGGTTATTTCTTGTACATAACAAGAAATCTAATACCAGCTGGATTTTTATCTTTATACAGTGAAAATGATATTTCAAATGGACTTACATTGAAGATGTGCACACCTGCTTCTCCATACATGCTAATTGTTAACAATGAAGAATACTGAACATCTTATGGGAAATGTAAGAGTCAAAAATAAAACATAATACAAGCAAAAAAATCAGCAAGTACATATCAGGTATATGTTATATGCCTAATAAAATATTTGCTGATCATTTTGAGAAAAATCCCATTAAATGGGTCAAAATCACTCAAGAAAACAAAGCACAACACATAGACAGGATATTTTAGGTTCAAAGAGAGTGACGTTCTAGTTGAGAAAAATAATTGGCAAAATAAGCTATAGGACACACCACAGAGATGCCTCCGGATCCTGCACTGGGCTCTCTTATCAGGGGAAACCTAGAGGGAGCTCAGGTGAGTTTCCCTCCCCACCCCTACAGAGCTCCTCCAGAACTCAAGTTCCACCATGCTCACAGCAGATATCCACAGATTCAGATGAGTCCCATCTATGAGTGAATCGACTGAAAAACCCAGGTACACAGGACTTGTGTCTGAAATTTCCAGGTTCAGAGGGAGTCGGGAATGGGTGACCACTCCTCATCTCATTGTGC